GCCACTGATACTCTCGGACCATCTTGGTTAGCCAACACTCTGTGTTCCGAGCTCTTGAACCTATCATTTGATACAAGCTGCTCCCAAATATGTATACATAGATAGAGAGAGAGAGTAATTAATTAACTTGTGTATTTCAAAATTTAATCTTGAACACACAGATTTAAATAAACAAGTCAAGTTGAAACAATACTAATTAAATATAACTTGTAATGCTTGCCTGGAGAAGATCTCCGATGTTGACAACTAGAGCTCCTGGGTAAGCGTGAACATCAAACCACTGGTTCTGGTGAAGAACTTGAAGGCCACCTATATCATCATCTTGAAGCAAAATTGTGAGAAAATTGTTATCCGCATGCTTGCTGGTGCCAAAAGTCAGGTCTGGTTCTGGACAGGCTGGGTAGTAATGCCCCAAAATAGCTCGCCCCTGATTGCACTCGATGTCTTTGAGATAGTTTGGATGGAGGCCTAAAGCCTCTGATAATAGTTCAAACAAAAAACCACCCAGTTTTTCCACTTCTTTTGAGTATTTGATAAGAATATCACTGCATGCAACAAATTAAATGTTACTCCGATCCGATCCGTAAGTATTAAATTATATAAATGCTATTAATAATGTATATAGCAAACACAGAGAAATTAAACCTGCAAACAGGAGGAAGTTGTTGAGGGTGAGGGGGATTAGGAGCCATGACACAGAAGAGAGTGTCCCTCCAATTTGCGGATGGTGCAGTATACAGGTCAAAGTTGCTGTTGTACGATACCATCCTTGTTAGACCTCGTGTATACCATTCCTTCTTCACCTCTGTATCTTGTTCGTGGAATCCTCGTATCCCTCTCTGGATTTCCTCCAAAACATTACCTGGGATCCCATGATTCACCACTTGGAAGAATCCCCATGTTTCAGATGCTTCTCCGACTGCCTCAACAACCTGTCTGCGCTTCATCTCGTTCCCATGAATGCCTTGAAGGTCTATGATTGGGATCTTGGGTTTGTTGGCAGTGGAAATTGATGAGTAGTTTTGGGTTGTTTTTGGATGAATGAATATTCCTGGGACTTTGGTTATGCCTGCATCCACAAGACCCTTAACACCAGCTTTGGTTTTATCGAAGGCTTTCAGCTCACTTTTCCTATCATATGTCCCTCCATTTTCATGGTTCAAATTCATGGTGGCTTCAATTCCACTGTAACACTTAAAAGATAGATCGAGATGGTCAGATGGATGTAATGTGATTGTATATATGGAAACCAGTTCAAATCATTCCAAGTTTCTCACCTCCTAAAAGGTTGAATCCACAACCCCAAAGGCCTCCAAAACCGGAGCCCTATATAGTATGTGAAATGATGTAAAAATAGCTTGGTAACTCAATGACTTAACAAACATGATCAAATGCTCCACATTGCCCCTTCGGGATTGCATTCTGTTGGGATCAAGCGCTTACTATTTACATCAAGAGTTATAGCTTGCGAAGGCACAATTTTATTTCTTTATACCGTCATACATTTTCGAATCGTTGGATGCTAAACTGGTATTCACCCAACAATCTCCTAGCCACCGAATGTAAATTTGACATTTACCGGCCTCCGCTCAACCCATTCCAAGTTTCTCATCACTCCTCTATGCTGTCTTACATTGAAATGTGGAACGTAGTCCACTACTTACGATGCAATGTGATTGTATATTGGAAACCAGTTCAAAGCATCCTATAAGTTTCTCATCAGTCCTCTTTACATTGAAATTTGGAATGTGGTCACTACTTATTTTAGTTCATTGAGTTCTGCAGTTGATTGATCATTACGTCGCATTTGCATGTGCTAATACACTTGTACAGACGTTATGGCCACTTGGCTTTATGATTTGTTTTATTATCTCGTGCTGTGGAATTGAGTGTGGTCACACCCACTGCAATTGTGATGACAATATAATATAGCATAAATGGAACAAAAATGAAAACCTGCAATTGCATTGTTTGGTTAACGGGACCTCCAAATGCTAAAATTATACGGAGTATTCGAGTGTTTTAGGTGGACGATTTCGAAAAAATAAAATAAAATCATCTCCAAAAACGTCCTTTTATAGAGGAGTTTTAATTATTTTTTTTTTTTGAAAGTGGAGTTTTAATTATTTAATTATTTAATTCTTTATTTATTTATTTTTGAATACTGAGGAGTTTTAACACTTAAAGACTCGTATTGCTTTCCCATCCAATAATGTGGAATGTGGCAATCGTTATGCTGTGAGCACGTGCTCACCTTGTATTGTGCGTACAAATCTATATTCATAATTTATATACTGTAGATTCATAATTTCTATATTGTATATTCATAATTTCTATACTCTCGGTGAGCTAAAATTTATACTTTATACTTTAGATTCATAATTTCTAACCATGAGTCTATATTCATAATTTATATATTGTATATCCATAATTTCGAGACTCTCGGTGAGCTAAAATTTATACTTTAGATTCATAATTTTAGCTCACCGAGAGTCTTAGAAATTTATGGATCTATAGTATAGAAATTATGAATATACAGTATAGAAATTATGGATATAGATTCGTATGCACCATGGGCATAGTGAGCACGTGCTCACAGAGCAATTTGCCAGAATGCGGCTATCAAGACTCCTCATATATCATGTTTATAAATAAATAAAAATTATTTATTTATTATTATTAGGAATAAGGTTCAAATTGGCCACTGAACGTAACCTGAAAATGCAATTAGGCCACTGAACGAAAAAAAAAAGTGCAATTAGGCCACTGAACACTCCAAAAATGTGCAATTTCACCTGAGAGCAGGTTACCCTCAATTTTAGCAGGTTATCTGCTTACGTGGCAGCTGAGTTGGCATTTTTAATAAATTTTAAATTATTTTTAATAAATTTTAATCATAAATTTTTATTTAAAAAAATTTTAAAAAAATAAAAACGACTTTATTTTATTTTTTATTTAATTTTTTCAAATTTTTTATAAAATTTATTATTAAAATTAATTATTAAAAATTATTTAAAAATTATTAAAAATGCCAACTCAGCTGCCACGTAAGCAGATAACCTGCTAAAATTGATGGTAACCTGCTATCCGGTGAAATTGCATACGTTTGGAGAGTTCAATGGCCTAATTGCACTTTTTGTTCGTTCAGTGGCCTAATTACATTTTCAGGTTACGTTCAGTGGCCAATTTGAACCTTATTCCTTCTTCTTCTTCTTATTATTATTATTATTATTATTATTATTATTATTATTATTATTATTATTATTATTATTATTATTATTATTATTATTATTATTATTATTATTATTGTTATTGTTATTGTTATTGTTATTGTTATTGTTATTGTTATTGTTATTGTTATTGTTATTATTATTATTATTATTATTATTGTTGTTATTATTGTTATTATTGTTATTATTATTATTATTATTATTATTATTATTTTAAATTTTGTACATGTTAAATGTTAACATAAATACCTATTTTTAATTTTATTAAATACTTTCTATAAATCACTAATACAAACTGTTAATCTAAACACACAACTACAAAAAAAGCATATTTTTGAAAGTAAACTGCTGCATATATTAATCAACCAAGGTCGAAACAAAAGCAGGAGGAACATCCTCCCATACCATAGAGTTTGCCTGCGCAGAGGCTGCCTGAGCTGACGAATGAGCTATAACATTTAAAGTACGGGGAATGTAAATAACATAACAAGAAACACATAAACTCATCAAGTCTCGACATGCTGAAACAGCTGCACCATCATAAGAGTGAATCTCTGTCGCTGAACTATCAAGAGCGTGACACAGGTTCGAACAGTCTGACCGAAGCACGACTTCCGTAGCCCCAAGATCCCTAAGCCAGGATAGGGCCTCCTTACACGCATAAGCCTCTGCCATAAAGGGTCCCTGACATAACGGTAGAGGGCCGTTCGTGGCTGCAATGAAACCGCCACCTGCATCTTGTAAAAACAAGCCATAAGCCCCACTCCTGGACGTAGCCGTGTAGGCTGCATCAAAGGAGCATCGCAGCAGCACACTTGCGGTCTGCCCAGCAGCGGAATTTGTCGCCTCCGAGGACTGCTGCCGAGTCGGAGTAACCACGGCCGCACGCCATGCGTCGAAGGTAGCAATAGCCATCACATGCACTTGCCGGGGCCTTCCCGCCTTATACTCCCATACCGCCGAGTTCCGTTGCAACCAAATATGGTACATAATGGCCACCATAGTAGTAAAATGATTCTCATCAACTCTTCGCAACAATTCCTCAAGCCATGCACCAAAACCATCTCCCATCGTACACTGCACCATTAAACCCAAAACATTCCATACACATTTAGAATAATCACATTGTACCAACGAATGTAAAATATTTTCAGGACATAGGCCACACAAAGGGCATGTTAAGGGAACTTCTACCTTCTTATTATATAAATTTGTAGTGGTGGGAAACACTTCCCTCACAGCTCTCCACAAGAAAACCTTCCACTTTGGGGGGGCCTTTAGATTCCAAATTTTATTCCAAGATATGAAGCCATTGGGGGGCGCAACAACGGTCCCCATTATATCACGATAAGCACCTTTAACTGTATAAACTCCCTTCCGGTCTCCATGCCAATACCACATGTCATCATAGGCAGGACGAATGTGTATTGTAGTAATCCGTTCCACATCCCCAGATGAAAATAACTCATTAAGCAAAGGGACGTCCCAGGTAGAGGATGTTGGATCTATTTATCCAGAAACTTTAACTTTCCCCAACGAGGGGGCTTATCTGACACAACTCTAGGATTTGAATCCCCCATTAACCACGGATCAACCCATACCAACATGGATTCTCCATTCCCAATCCTACGCCTTATGTTGCGAGTGATTAGGCCCTGAGCAGCCATAATACTCCAACAAAAACTAGGATTATTTCCAACAGAGGCACTCAAAAAATCAGAATTAGGGTAATACCTGGCTTTATATACCCTTGCAACCAAAGATTGGGGACTAGTCAGAAGCCTCCACCCCTGCTTGCCTAGCATTCCCACATTGAACGCCCTCAAATCCTTGAAACCCATCCCACCATATTTCTTCGGGTATACTCAACTTATCCCAAGCAAGCCAATGAATTCCTCCCCCATCCTTCCCATTGCGCCACCAGAACCTATTCATAACGCGTTCCAGGTTCTTACATAATGAATCAGGTAACAGGAACACACTCATAGTAAAAGTTGGCATTGCCTGAGCCACAGATTTCAGTAAAATCTCTTTTCCTGCCCGTGACAAAAGTTTCTTATTCCAGGAGCCAATCCTTTGCCTGACCTTATCCTCCACATACGCAAACACCGCATGTTTATTCCTCTCTACATAGGCCGGCAAGCCTAGGTACTTTCCAAAATTCACTGCTTGCTGGACCCCAAAAACCGCAGCCACCAAATCTCTATCTGTTAGCTGAGTGTTCCTGCTAAAGCAAATATTAGATTTATGATAGTTAATGGTCTGACCAGAGAGATCTTCATAAAAAGTAAGACACCGTTTGATCGCCTGCGCCTCATTAACATTTGCATTAAAAAATAGGAGGCTATCATCTGCAAAAAAGAGATGTGAGAATGCAGGAGCCCCTCTCGCCACCCTTAATCCATGAACAACACCCCTATCCTGAGCCTGCTGTAACAACAATGATAACCCTCTGCACAAATAATAAACAAATATGGGGATAAAGGATCCCCTGACGGAGTCCACGTGACGGGATTATCTGCCCTCCAGACACACCATTAATCATAATATTATACGATACAGTAGTACCACATTCCATAATCGGGTTCACCCACCTCACCTGAAAACCCAAAGCCAACATCATTTTTTCTCAAAAACGGTCACTCCATCCTATCATAAGCCTTCGATATATCTAGCTTCAAGGCCCCCCCAACCCACCCTACCTAACTGTTTTCTGTTCAAAAAATGGCCCACCTCAGCAGCAACCAATATATTATCTGTTATCAACCTGCCAGGAATAAAAGCGCTCTGCGAAACAAAAATAACATCTCCCAACAAAGGCTTCATGCGATTAGCAATAACATTTGCAATTACCTTATACACAACATTACTCAGGGCAATCGGGCGCAAATCAGTTACCACCTCAGGGGACTGCGTTTTTGGAATAAGCACAACATTAGACTCATTAAGGCCAACTGGCAAGGACCCCGTATTCAAACACTCCAGCACAAAATCAGTGACATCTGCCCCAACAATATCCCAGAATTTCTAATAAAAGCCCGGATTCATTCCATCTGGCCCCAGGGCCTTATTTGGAAACATGGCAAACAACGCATCTCTTACCTCCCCCGGATCATAAGGCCGATTCAACCAATCATTATGAGTTTGAGTTACACGAGTGGGAACAGAGGCAAAGAACTCCGCCCCATCATTCACACCCGGGTTAGCAGTGAAAATTTCATTAAAATAACTCATCACAACTGGCTTCATAGCATCACCATCTACCCACCTACCCAAATCATCTTTAAGGCGTAAAATAGTATTCTTACGTTTACGGGCAGAAGCATACCTGTGATAAAATCGTGTATTTGCATCCGCCCCACGGAGCCAGTGCTGCTTGGCTCTCTGCCTCCAAAAAACATCCTCCTGTTTCTCCAACTTTACCAATTCAGCTTTCAGACGGCGGAAGTCAGCTAACGCCTGTGGATCCATGCGACCCCGATAATTCAACTGTTGTTTCTTGAGACTAGCGATCCGTTCCCCAAATTTATGGAAACGATCACCACCCCAACTCTGTAACTTCATACCACACCTCTACAAACGGGACTGCAAACCTCCACTCCACGTCCCCACGCCTCCTCAACCACGTCCCTACATCCCCCATCCAGCAACCAGGCCATCTCAAACCGAAAACGCCGAGGCCCAACTCGGTGCCCCACCCCTGCCCGTATGTCTAGGAATAGAGCCGAATGGTCCGACCTTCTCGTCAGAATATTATAGACCCTTGCACCCTCCACCACAACCCGCCACTCATCACTTGCCACAACCCTGTCTAATTTCTCCTCCACCCAAGCCCTCTGTGCCCTTCCCCTTCTCCCAGGTAAACTGATAGCCAATCATAGGGATCTACACCAAACCACAATCCTCCGGTGCTTCCCCAAAACCCCTTAATAAAGGTTCTGGATGTCGAAAACGGCCCCTCTTCTCATACTGGAAGAGCAAATCATTGAAATCTACAAAAAAGCATATAAATGAACTTTTCACCACCCTTTTTAAATAAAGGTGGTGTTTGGTTAAATAAATGTACGGTGAAAAAATTGTAAACAAAATTAATAAGAAACTGTTACTCATTTTAAACAAAAGCGATGCGTTTTCTTAAAAAAAAAATGCATCGAGTTCTGTGGTCCTTTATGTAAGAGATGGTTGCGAAAAGTAATCAATTAAAAAAAAATCTATAAAACGGGGGTGTCTTGCCTTGGCAAGACACGTGGGTCCATGACACGGGACATGGGGTTACGTGGACGTTAGGCACGAAGGATGAAGCAGGTCCATACACTTGGCAAGACATGGGGTTTCTTGAACACTATAAAACGAGGGTGTCTTGCCTCCTTTGGGACATCCTGGTGTGAGCATTACAAGCTTTCTGGTCTAGTGGTCTCTTGTCTGTAATATCAACCTATTCACCTAGGATCAATTCATAGCAGCAACTTTATTATTTCTAGTCCACTATTTGGGCTATACATTGTATTATTTATTTATTATTTAGGCCGTCTTTTTGGGTTAATATCTCGAGCTTTGTATATATACTCTTTGGGCCTTGTGTCCTGAGCAATTAAACTACTATTTTCCTACCCACATTATGTACATTTATACCTAGTGTATGGTGAATCCGGTACGGTCTCGATAAAACAACCAATAATAATCATGTGTAATTCATCCGTTTTCGCATATATGTCAAATCGTGACTTATATTTAATGGTAAGACGTTTAAGTATTACCTCTTTAATATATGTAAATGTTTTATTATGTTTAAAATTATTAGGACTCTGTGTATTTGAGTTAGACTATGATTTTCTATTCCAGTCTCTTTGAGACTCTCTCTCTCTCTCTCTCTCTCTCTCTCTCTCCCTCTCTCTCTCTCATATGTACATTTGTATGTACCGAATGTGAAACAACTCTATCAGTTATCATTTGGTATCAGTTTATGTGACACCCCTGATTTTCAGCATATTTTAAAACAATTAAAGCTTACGAAATAGGAATAAGTATATCATTAATACCCAAATAAGCGGAAGCTAAGCATAATAGTTTAGGGTATTATGCCACATCTAAGCTAGAGAACCTAGATGCACAGGCTACCGACTAACTAATCACAATCCATAAATGTCATTCGAATACAAAATGGCTCACAGGCCGTCAAACTAAAGCTAGCTACTAACTAAGCTAGGAACCGCAGCTCCGTCTAGCTCGCTCATGAGCCAACTAATCTGTACCTGAAAAAACATGCGGTGTAGCAACCGTTAACGAATAATGCTAAGTAACTCACTCCCATGCGTTGAGTACATTATATAGATATAAGAAAACCATTTTGAGACTTGAGAATACATAATTATAGTCCTAAACAACTCTAGCTTTCAAATCAGGATAAAGACTCACGACATACCATTAACATTGACACGACACGACAACATTACAGTACAAGCATGCAAACCATGACCACAAGACAAGACAACAATAAGAGACACAATAGCAAACCACGACCACAAGACACGACAACAATAACAGACAACAATAAGACCACAAGACATGTCCATGTTCCAACCTTATACCAAGTTCCAACCTTTACTTCTCTCCATCCTTATATCAGTTCCAACTTGTACCTCCACGCCACCCTGTACACCATCAGCCTTATCCCTCCGGAGCAATGCTCCCCGCCTATCCATCTGCCAATCTGTTCCGTCGATCCAAAGCACACTCAGTGCCAAAGGTACCGCAGCACCATAACACAAGATAAATGCACCGCATCGCTTTATTCCACCAATTGATTTTATACCGCCAATCTCATATCTTTTCATCACCCATGGACTTCAACACAAACATTCAAGACTCAACAACTCCATCAATGGATAATCAGGGAAAGGGAACATCATACGTACCGACTATCAACGACAAGTGACACCAAGACAACCATAAGACTCATGGGGGGAACATTATAGAACATACTTTGAACCACAGAACACAAGTTTAGACCACATGCATAAATCATGACTCACAAACCTCAACACGGCACTTAGGACATCATTCTAGACCCACAAACATCAAAGAACACACCTCGGGCTACGGGGTTAGACCAAAAGGAGGCCGACGGACCATCTCACTGTCCGTACCAATGGGCGGTACGGCGGGTGGACAACCACCCGCCAGCCGCCCGCTGGAACAATGCCGTCGTTCCAGTGGGTGGTCAGGTGGGGGTTCGTTCCCCACCGACAACCCGCTGGAATACCCACCCTTGGCAATTTTCCTACCTCGGGAATTCACCAACTACACCCAATCCCGAGTCCAATCACACCCAAATCACATCAACAATAATAGGGACCCGAACATAAAGAATAACCCGAAGAATAACATATTGGACCCTAAATACAAGCTCTAAACCTTGAATAACACAAGAACATGCATATACCCATCCATGAATATCAAGAACAACAAGATTCACAATATAAACCCTAAACACAAGCTTTAAATACGCATAAACACAAAAATATGCAAACAACCACACAAGATTATCAAGAACATCAATAATCAAGAAATCACAATATATATCAAAGAAAATAGGTTTTGTAAGACATGAGTTACATTTTAACTTAATTAAACTCCTCACGACTCCTAAGATCCTCCCTCAAGATCCTTTTTCCAATCGATATTTCCTAAGCTTGGTGATGAGAATTCTTTGACTATGTTTTGGGGAGAGATTTTCGAGTGAGGGAATAGGGATGGGTGAAGAAGGCTCTCAATGCTTTCTAATTCCATTTAAATAGGTTTAGGATTCCCAATTAGAATCTGAAAAGGTAAGAGGTATCGGATTCCTAATACGCATCTGAAAAGGTAAGAGGTTTAGGATTCTTAATACGAAGAGGGCCCTCCTTATTTTATTTAAAAGGCTAACGGGCTTTATTTTAGACAAGGGTTCATGGTCCATAATGGACCCTATCAATAAATAAAGGGATTTGGGTCAAATAGTTTGGGCTAAGTAATATTTATTGGGCATAGAGAATATATATATACATACATACATACATATATATATATATATATATATATATATATATATATATATATATATATATATATATATATATATATATTAGGCACAAGATTTGGGCATTTAAAATCATATTTTATAAAATAATTTAACCAAAGCCCGTAGTGACACACACACACACACACACACACACATATATATATATATATATATATATATATATATATATATAGCAAAATATTTAATTATAAGTAACTAGTTCTATTTGGAAAATATTTATATTTAATATAAATATTTAAGAAAATATGGGGTGTTACACTCTACCCCCCTTACAAGAAGCTTCGTCCTTGAAGCTTAGAAATAATTTTAGGGATAAAGAGTCAGAATTAGTACGATAATATATAGGGAAAATATTTTACGCGAATATATATATATATATATATATATATATATATATATATATATATATATATATATATATATATACTAGGTTTTGGGAAATATTAGGTTCCAAAAAGGGGAAAGAGGATTGGAAGTTTTGGGTTTCAAACTTGAGGGCAACGTTAAATATGGATATGATCAAAGTCATCAAAGTTGTAACTTAGGAAGTAAGGTTGCCATCTGGCCCGGAATTGTTTGGAATGAGGGATCAAGAACGAAGTTTGAAGTGGTAGAAAGAATTTCTCAACGAAACGGTATTCGATTTGACAAAGAAAGGAAGGGAATTCGGCTCGTTGCACATTCAAACTTAAAAATCCTTACACCCATATGTCTATAACCTTTGTACTAATTATCATGCCCAAAGGGAATATATCACCAAATACCATAGATATCGGGTTTATACCTAACTATTGTACTAACAAAATATACCGAATGATAAGGCTACAACATGCAATTCACATTATATGAATATAAACACAGCATAGACATCTTACTCACGGCATATTCATTATTTAAATAATTTATAATGATTTAAACATATAGGATCATAAGTTGCACCGAACATGCAATTAAATATAATTATTTATATACCTAAATAAGAGATTAATACCACGCGTGTGCAAATTCGAATATCCATACAATCATTATAAAACATATATACACATATATCAACACAGGTGAACCATATTCACGATTGGATATAAACATTTAATGTAAAATTTTGCATGTCATGAGCCAAATACCATATATACAAGATTTATACCTAATCATTGTACTAAGACATAATACACCAAATACTCACAATTACATAATAACAAGCCTATCATATATGATAATATTTCATAATTAACTATCATGTTATATGTGAAACCTGCAAATTGGCACACCTATATATATATATATATATATATATATATATATATATATATATATATATATATATATATATATATATATATATATATATATATATATATATATATATACTGCCGAACTTATGCTAAATATACAACTCTTTAAGTCTATAGGCCTAGAGCATTAAGACACGTGAACATATTTCAAGTCTTAAATAATAACTAGTCATATGGAATCACATATGCGTATTGTTCAACATGTTAAACTAGTGCATATTCAACAAATAAATTCACGTACTCAACATCGCGGCATAACCAACAATTGTCATATGTATTCAGGAAGATCATAAATCATATAACAATTACTCAAAATAACAAAAATCTATTTTTAAGGAAAAGATTTTCACGTAAGCAATTAGGAAAAAGGTTGTTGCTTCTTATGTGGTGAATAAATTTTGGGAAGACAATAGAATCAAAATCTTCATATTGCACACCACAAATATAATTTTACAATAATGGGTAATCACATAATCAAGTATTTGCATAAATATTAAATACTAAAATTTAGCACATACGAAATATTTCACAAATTTCCATAAACAAATATTTTATACTTAATTCTTGTACTATAAATACAAGAGGTGTTATACGGGATTGTCCAGAACATACTAAGTATACATATGTAACACGTTAATCATCATATGCTGATATATAACACATGACACAAAACCAACTTCCAATTGCCAATTCTATAAATACGCAGATTATGCACATACACCTTTACATACATATTACGAAAATGTATATAAGCATTATGGTCTTAAATTATATATATTGATAAATACACGGATCAAACTCACATGATAATCAACAATCTTCATCAAACAATTTTCACATAATACACAATATTCACGAAGATCATGGATCACATAACAATTACTCAAAAATAACGAAATAGCTAGATTTTTATTTGAGGAAAAAGATTTTCATATAGGCACATATAATTTTTTTTTTTATTTCTTATGAGGTTAAAATAATTTTGAGTAGACATAAATCTTACCTGAATTTCAAAATCAACCACCTAAACTTGATTACCCTTGAACCCTAATTCTTGAGTCAATGATGGATGAGAAGAGACTTATGAACAATGAGAAAATTAGGGTTTTATATATTTTAATTCCATTAATCAGGCTAAACTGTAATTTTAATTCTATTTAAATGTTAACTATATTGTTGTTTAAGAGTTATGAATTAGGATTTTTAATTGTGTTTTTATTCTATTTAATATTCCTATTTACAATGAAATTGTAAGTTTATTAGGTTTTTTTTTTGAAAGGTAAATGATGTTATAATTAATCAACCAAAGTCGAAATAAACGCAGGAGGAACATCCTCCCACGCCATGGAGTTTGCCTGAGATAAGGCTGCCTGAGCTAACGAATGTGCTAAAACATTAGACGAACGAGGAATGCAAATAATAGAACAAGAATGTAAAAGACTCATTAAATCCCGACATGCTGAAACAGCTACACCATCATAAGAGTGAAACTCCGCTGCTGAAGAAGAAAGGGTGTGACGTAGGTTCAAACAATCCGTCCGAAGCACAACCTCCATAACTCCACGTTCCCGTAGCCAAGATAGGGATTCCTTGCACGCATAAGACTCCGCCATAAAAGGTCCGTGACATGGTGGTAGTAGTCCATTCTTTGCCGCAAAAAACTCGCCACCCGCATGTTGGAGAACAAGGCCATACGCACCCTCACCATCCGGCGCAACATAGGCAGCGTCAAAGTAGCAGAACAGCTGGCCTGTGGACTGACCAACTGCCACTGTTGGCGCGGACGCCTCATGCTGCCGAGGTTCTGTTCCCACTGCCTTACGCCACGCATCGAACGATGCCACGGCTGTCGCATGCACATGCCAGGGGAGTCCCACCTTATAATCCCATACCGCTGAATTACGTTGCAACCAAATATGGTACATGATAGCCACCATAGCAGTAAAATGATTCTCATCAACACTGCGTAAAAGCGACTCAAACCATGCACCAAAACCATCTCCCATCGTACACTGCACCATTAAGCCCGAAATATTCCACAAACATTTAGAATAATCACATTGAACCAAAGAATGTAAAATATTTTCAGGATGTAGACCACACAAAGGACATGTTAAAGGTACATCTACCCTCCTACTATATAAGTTCGTGGTGGTGGGAAGCACTTCCCTCACCGCTCTCCACAAAAAAGTTTTCTACTTCGGGGGTGCCTTTAGACTCCATATTCTGTTCCAGGATGAGAAGCCATTTGGGGGTATAGTTATGGTTCCCATCAAATCACGGTAAGCGCCCTTGACTAGGTAAACCCCCTTTGGGTCCCCATGCCAATACCACAAATCATCATAGGCTGGGGTAATCGGTATCTTAGTTATACACTCAACTTCACCGGGCGAGAAAAGCTCATTTAGCAAAGGGACATCCCATGATGAGGATGTTGGGTCTATTAATCCAAAAACTCTCACCTCACCCAAATGTTGCGGCTTATGTGATAAAATCCTTGGAGTAGAATCCCCCATCAACCACGGATCACCCCACACTAAAGTAGAAACATCGTTCCCAATTCAACGCCTTATATTGCGACAAATCAGGTCCTGAGCGGCCATAATACTCCTCCAACAAAAAACTTGGATTATTTCCAACGGTGGCACCCAAAAAATCAGAATTTGGGTAATACCTGGCCTTGTAAACCCTGGCAACCAGAGACTGGGGATTTGTGAGGAACCTCCACCCCTGCTTGCCCAATATTGCCACATTGAAAGCCCTTAAGTCCTTGAAACCCAACCCTCCAAACTTCTTCGGCTTACACAGCTTGTCCCACGCCAGCCAATGAATCCCACCTCCATCCTTCCCATTGCGCCACCAAAACCTGTTCATAATACGCTCAAGACTCGTACACAACGAGTTAGGTAGTAAGAACACCTCATAGTAAATGTAGGCATGGCCTGTGCCATAGATTTCAGCAAAATTTCCTTCCCAGCACGTGACAGTAGTTTCTTTTTCCAGCTTCCAATCCTTTGCCTGACCTTATCCTCCACATATGCAAAACAGAACGTTTATTTCTTCCTACAAAAGCCGGCAAACCCAGATACTTTCCAAAATTCACCGCTTGCTGCACCCCAAACACCACAGCCACCGAGTTCCTCTCCATAAGCTGAGTGTTCCTACTAAAGCAAACATTAGATTTATGATAGTTAATGGTTTGACCAGAATATTAGCTTTAAAGAACAGAAGGCTATCATCCGCGAAAAAAAGGTGTGAGAGCGCAAGCGCCCCCCTCGCCACACTAAATCCGTGAACAACACCCCTATCCTTGGCCTGCTGCAACAACAATGACAACCCCTCCGCACAAATAATGAACAAATATGGGGACAAGGGATCCCCCTGGCGGAAGCCGCGTGAGGGGGTTATCTAACCCCCCAGACACACCATTAATCATAATATTGTAGGATACCGTTGTAACACATTCCATAATCAAGTTGACCCACCTATCCTGAAACCCCAAGGCTATTAGCATTTTTCTCAGAAAAGTCCATTCCCTCCTATCATAAGCCTTAACCATATCCAATTTCAGGGCCCCCCTCCCAACTCTGCCCAACTGCTTCCTGTTCAAAAAGTGTCCCACCTCAGCAGCCACCAAAATATTGTCCGTTATCAATCTGCCTAGGATAAAAGCACTTTGCGATACATAAATAATATCACCCAACAAAGGCTTCAGACGATTAGCAATAACCTTGGCAATTATCTTATACACCACAGTACTTAATGCAATCGGGCGCAGGTCAGTTACCATCTCAGGGGACTGTTTCTTAGGGATTAAAACTACATTTGACTCATTGAGACCAGCAGGCAAAGATCCCGAATTTAAACATTCCAGAACAAAATCAGTGACATCCGCCCCAACAATATCCCAAAACTGCTGATAAAAACCTAGGTTCATTCCATCGGGCCCCGGGGCCTTATCCGAAAACATAGCAAAGAAAGCATCCCTTACCTCCCTCGGATCATAGGGCCGATCCAACCATTCATTATGAGACTGGGTTACCCGGGTAGGGATAGAGGTAAAGAAATCCGCCACATCACTGACAGCCGGATTAGCAGTAAAAATATCATTAAAATAACTCATCACATCAGGTTTCATAGCATCACCATCTACCCACCTACCCAAGTCATCTTTCAGGCATAAAATAGTATTCTTACGTTTACGAGCAGAAGCATACCTGTGGAAGAAGCGTGTATTCGCATCCGCCCTCCAAGGCCAGTGCTACTTGGCTCTCTGCTTCCAAAAAACATCATCTTTCTTCTCAAGCCTTACTAGCTCAGTTTCAAGACGGCGGAACTCAGCTAAAGCCTGTAGATCCATGCGCCCCCTACAATTCATCTGTTGCTTCTTGAGACCAGCGATCCGTTCCCCAAACATATGGAAACGATCACCGCCGCATCGTTGAAGCTTCATACCACACCTCTGCAAGCGGGCCTGCAACTCCTCAACACCACGACCCCACGCATCTTTCACCACCTCCCTACATCCCCCATCCAACAACCAGGCCATCTCAAAACGGAAGCTCCTATGACCAACCCGAGTCCCCATACCTGGTCGAACATCCAGAAAAAGGGCCGAATGGTCCGACCTCCTCGTTTGTATATTATAGACCCTTGCCCCCTCTACCACAGCACGCCAATCCTCATTCGCCACAACCCTGTCCAGCTTCTCCTCAACCCAATCCTTCGTTCCCTTCCACTTCTCCCAAGTAAACTGATAGCCAATCAATGGGATCTGCATCAAACCACAATCCTCCAAGGCTTCCCCAAAACCCCGCAATAGAGGTTCCGGGTGTCTATGCCGGCCCCGTTTCTCATACTGAAACAGCAAATCGGTGAAATCCCGCAAGACTACCCAAGGCAACATAGAACGAGGCCTTAAGTCCCTTAACAGATTCCACTACGCCTCCCTACTACCACAATCCGGGAAACCATAGAAGCCCGTCATCCTCCAAGGCGCGAAACCATCCATCCGTACCACAACATCCACGTGATTCCTGGAGTAACTTAAAAGATTAACTGTCTTGTTCGTTCTCCAAGGCAGGGCCAAACCTCCACTCAAACCCCTCATGTCCACATAGAACAAGCCATCAAACCCCAGACTCACACACAATCGCTCAGCATGCTTTCTACCAACCTTCGTTTCCATTAAAAAAATAAAATCGGGTTTCTTCTTGGATACCAGAACCTGCAGTTCCCAAACTGTTCGTGGATAACCCAAGCCACGATAGTTCCTGCTCAACGTACTAATAATGATGGGCGGGTCTGGGAACCAGAACCCGCTATCAACAAGTTTTTTGAAATGTCTGTCATTGTCAAATCATCACCCCCACTCACCCCACCACCCTCACCTTCCCGCCCCTCCTCCCTCCGCCACTTGGGCCCCACCGTCAACCCCTCCTCCACCACCGGCGGCCCTACGGTACAGCACCTGTACTACCACCAACCACCCCCTCCTCCCTCTTCCCCCCAACCGGAATAAGCCAAGAATGGCCAACCGGCCTCGGCCTACGCCGCATTCCCGCCTTCATCTCAGCCCCGTACGGATATTGATCCACTGTAAGTGTTGAGTTTCTTGCTTGCAGGCAAAATTTGTACGAGTGACCCAATAAGCCACAAAAGAAACAGAAAGTGTGTAGCCTCTCGTACTCAAAACTTACCCAACACCACGTGTTATCTCGCTTCGCAAACCTCATCCGCCGTCGCAACGGCTTGGCTATCGGAATACTAACACGGATCCGATAGAAAGCCTTCCACGGCCGATCATCAAACCTCTCATCCGCCTTCACAAACTTGCCCAGAAAGTTTCCCACCTGTTCATGAATCACCACTGACGTATAACCCATTGGGTGGCCGTGAACCTGAACCTACATGTCAACACTATCAAGTACCACATCCACCGGCAACACCCCTTTCGCCACCGGCCGGCAAACCAGCGTATGGTTGTCAAATGACCATGGCCTTTCATCAGTTACACACTGCAAATCTGTCTGATGGTAAAACACAAACATAAAAAGATTAGGTTGTAGTTCCGAAACCTGCACACCGCTCACCGGCTACCACACCTCGGCCATAACCTGCTGCATGAATTCAATCTTCACCATCCGGCGTGTTAAAAACCGCCCAACCAAGACCCAAGTTTTCCGTTGACCTTCTGGCCCTGCCGCAATAGTGTCGCCAACCGGAACCAGCAGATCATCCTCGTCATGTAGCGAGATTCCCCGCGTAACCCTCAACAAGCTCATCCTCAGCATCCGTAGTCTGTCGTCGATCCATCTACTACCAAACTGCTTCCCTCAAGACTCGTTGATGCTGATTGGTGCCGGAAACCGTATGTAGATACGTAGATACTAGGCAAAACCCTAGAAGGAAAGAGAAAAAGCTCTAGCAAACCCTAGAGAGAGAATGTTTAATAATTAGTTTATTAGGTTTATTATATGAAGAAGATTGATTTTAAGGTTCAAGCGGAGTAAGGTTCGAACCTCATTTGAGGCAAATAGTGTGTATATGTAGGGTATTCCCTTCCTTTTAATAAAAATTGATTTTATTTTTTAATTTATGTATATGTATTTATTGTTTATTTACAAAGGGATTTAAGGCTCCTGATTACCTATTAGCTAGGCGGAGTACGGATCTTTGATCGATACTTTAGTGCGATTGTGCAAGTACTTCACAAGTGCTTTTGTTCTTTTATTCTTTTTAAATCAATTTTATAATAATTTTGTATATAATGTTGTCTAAAAAAACATTTATTAGGAAGTGAAAAAAAATAAAGAAAAAAAAAACAAATTGAGCAGTTACTAGAGCCACGTAAGAAGTCATTGATGATTTTGATTTGCATCTAGGAAAGCACATAAGCTTTCTTTAATGATTAGTTTTGTATTTATAAATTGTTGAAAAATGTTAAAATATATTTCAATTTAGTTGACATTAATATTTTTGTACTCATATATTGAATTTAAAATTTGGTTATAAAAATTTGTTAATTTCTAAATATGATATAAGGCCTTTTATTGCACTTGGCAAATTATTGCATGGACCATGGTCCACACAATTGTGTGGACCATGAATATTATGTACATTTTTAATATATTAAGGGTACATTATTATTGTACTGAAGGTACATTATTTTTGTATTGAAAAATGTACTTTCAATATATTGTACATTTGTGTGGAATTCAAAAATGTATTTTATGTTTACATAAATAATGTACCTTTAGTATATTAAAAATATAAATTTTATTTATGGTTCACATTGTAGGCATTGAAAAATTTAAATAATATTCTTGGACCGTGGTGGGTAATTGATTGCTAAATTAATTACTTTAATTGAGCTAATTGGACTAATATTTATTTAATTGGGTTAATTAAATGGCCCATTGAATAATTAATTAGTTTAATTACTTAATTAAATGTAATTGGATGTTGGATTATTGGGCCCAAGTTGGTGAAATATTTAATTGAGTCGAACCAGACTGCTTGGATGAATTGGGTTGCCTAATTAGCGGGTTTGACTTGGTCTTGGCCCATCAAAATTATATGTGGATTACATAATTTTGAGGAAATTGGATTATTTGATATTATTTGAAATTTAATGAAATGATGAACCTGGACGCAATGGTGTCCCGATACGTTCCTTAATTTAATTAAAATAATTAAATTAAATAAGGAATTGAGAGTTGGTTGGAGATTTTCCCTCACCCTCACCACTATAAATATTGGGTTCATTTTCAAAGAATGAAGCTCTGGAAATCTACATATTGAAGCTCTGCCGAAATCTCTCCAGGATATCGTCTGGAACACGCCCGCAGTTGTACTGCGTATACCGCGCTGAGGAACACGCCACTTGAACACCGGAAGCCCTTCTTTGAAGATCAAGCTGCATATTAGCCCTTCATTGAAGAACAAGCTACATAACTCCGGAGGCCCTTCAGCAAGGAACTACTTCCAGTTCGGCATACTCCCGAACTTGGCATACTTCCAGTTTAGCATACTCTGAACTCAGCACACTTCCAACAAGGAACTCGACATACTTCCAGTTCGGCTATACCCCCGAACTCGGCATACTTCAAGTTTGGCATACTCTGAACTCGGCACACTTCCAATTCGACATATTCCGGATTCAGCACAGTTCTAATAGGCATACTTCTAGTAGAGAATCAGAGGACTTCTCATATTCAGAGATTGTACCCCTTCTTGATTGATACATACTTCATTGTAACCGATACTTTGAATTTTGAATATATACAATTCAAGTTTTTCGCGTTTACATATTTTGGCACGCCCAGTGGGACGTCTCTGCCTCTCATCTCTCTACTACTATATCTCTACCTGCGCATCAAATGGCATCGAACAATCCCATGTTCAGGAGGACCTATGCCCAAACTACCAAGTCCAAGTCTACGCTTGTAGCTAGCCCTGGCACAACTCAGAAAACGCAAGGTCCGCTGATAAGGAACCGCGCAAAGGATTTGGGGGTCCGAGTACCTGAACCTCAGTCCATGGCACGACGGGTGGTTCGAAGGCTCGACAAGGCCCCTGCTGCCTCAAAGGCAATTGCTTTTGCTGGAAGTGCACCCTCTCCCAAGGGAGCTACCGATGGTGGTAGTCCAACTTCTATGCAAGGGAACGCTAGTAGCAGGAGCACTTCCCCCGTAACACCGCCACATCCATTATGGAAGACTGCACCTGAGTGGTCGCATGTCTACAACGTCATGCCGGCCATGGCGACGAACACAGAGTCTGTGGAGGAGCAATTAGCTAGAATTGCTAAGTCTCTGGAAGGAATGGCTGTCACTCTCCAAAATCAAGAGAAACGGCTTAACACCCTCGATAATAGGATATGAAGCATCATGGAGGAGCAAGGAAGCCGTGCTCCAGGAAAGCAACCTGAAGGGCAAGAAGAGGTTGGTCAGCAATCACCACCACCTCATGTTAGCCATGTGGTAGGAGAAGCTGCTTCCCACTTACCTGCAACTGAGAAAACTATTCCAGTTACCGAAGGCATGATACCGGTGGATCAGTTGAAGGACTACATAATGGGGGCCATCAAAGGCAAGTTGGATGAAGGACAACCTTCATATTCCTATGCTAAGCCCTACACACAAAGAATTGAGGAATTGAAAATGCACTACGGCTATCAACCTCTTAAGTTCCAGCAATTCGATGGCAAGGGAAATCCCCGACAGCACATTGCCCACTTTGTGGAGACATGCAATGATGCAGGGACTTATGGCGATCTATTGGTAAAACAGTTTGTCCGTTCATTAAAGGGAACTGCGTTTGATTGGTACACTGACCTTGCGCCCGGCTGCATTGATAGCTGGCATGATATGGAACGTGAGTTCTTAACTCGTTTCTATAGCACAAGGAGAACGATCAGCTTCTTGGAACTCACTACTACTCGCCAATGGAAGGGTGAACGCGCCGGTACCTACATCGAAAGGTGGAGGGAACTATGCCTGAATTGCAAAGAAAGAATATCCCAAAGTTCTGCAATTGAGATGTGCATCCAAGGAATGCACTTTGAACTCTCCTATATCCTACAAGGGATTAAGCCAAAGTCCTTTGAGGAGTTATCCAGTCGTGCTCACGACATGGAATTGAGCATCGAAGCCAGCGGAGGGCTCAACATATTGAACTTGCCTAGCTCCTCCAATGCACCTGGAAAATAAGAAGTTAAAAAGTGGAACAAACCTTTTCCAAAGCAGGAAAAGAAAGAAGTGATGAATGTGAAGGCTACTCCTATGACAGTCTTCACTAAGGCAACTGAAAGGCCTAGGCCAAGACCATTTTCTGGCCCATCAAGGGGTGGTAGAAGGCCGACAATTGAAGAAAGGCAGGAGAAGACTTATCCTTTCATGGATT